CGCGCCGTGTGTGGGTGCGGTGGGGGGGGGGGGGGGGGTGCGCGTTGTGCGTGGGGAGCGCGACTGAGGAGGCTGCGCTACGTGAGTGCGGGGGTATTCGGGTGAGGCGGGTTGTGCACTGCGGTTCCATTTGAATGGGGGGGTCTGAAGACATTGTATGTTGCAGGGGGTGGGGGGAACAGGCGAGGAGGATGTGCGCTGTATGTGTGTGTTGGTGGTTTCCGTGTTGTGGTGCTGGTTTGAGGTGATATAGCCCTTAAAGACATTACCCGAGTCAAAGCACGACGTGTGCTGTGTGGATACATAACACAGAGCAGTCCTTGAAACATTTCATTTCTTCTATTCCTCTACTAGGTTCTTGATTTTATTACGATCTCTCACTGAATTTAATGGTATTACTTGTAAGAGAGGTGTATGCCTTTGGAGATTTATGGCATAACTATATATTTTTTTCCATGTTGTTTCATTACGGAAGTGATAAAGGATATGTAAGTTTCTGTCATGTGTCGGGTACCAGGTCATTGGCCTTGAAGCCTCATTATACATATCAGTTCAAAACTGTACCTTAAGTTCTGGTAATACTACCTAGAACTAACAGTGGCTGCCTGGCACATTTGAATGTCTACTGCTGTTACTGATACAATGAATTCAGAAGTATTTTTTTAATTCAGCGATTATATTCTTAGATCAGTGACTAAGTTACAATAAAAATAATGGTGTATTTATTTACATTTTTATAGGTTTTGCTGAGAACAACAGCAGGAGATATAGATATAGAATTATGGTCAAAAGAAGCACCAAAAGCATGTCGAAATTTCATCCAGCTTTGTATGGAAGGTAATGACTGAATGGGATAGGAGTTGTTGAAATTATTCCATATGCAATCTTTGTTCCTTTTTTGTAAAATAGAGGTCATAACTATGTCTTAACTTTAGTATGTTAATGAATTTATTTGTATTTATAAAATATTAGCTAACTCAGACAATGTTTTTCAAGGTTATTAAGGAACCCGGTGGAACAAAACCAAAACATTTTAGATGGTTTTCTCAAATGTAGCGGATGATGTAGTATTACTGAAAAGTATGTCGGAGGCTTGGGAAGGCTTATTTTCAGCAAGTCTCTACAAAGTATAACTACTTCTTTAATGTATGTATGAAACGGCAACGATGCGATATTGGACATCCTCCAAAATTCTCATTTCTGTACTAAAAAATTAAAACTACCTTTTAATTTTTTTCATGAGTGCTTCTAATGTTTCATTTGCTGTAGTTTTTTGTTGATGGAAGCTCTGTAACACTGTTAACTGAAGTAGTGGGTACCAGAATGAGAAGCTCCCTATTGGGAAAACTGTAACAAGAATTTGTGAAGGACCTGGTGCCTTTGTGTTTTCTAGCTGCTGCTGTTATCCCTTTTATGCATTTATAGAGTGGTTAAGAGTTCTTTTAGTTTTCCTCTGTTAAGGAAAAATAGCAGTCTAGGATTTATGCCTCCAGCATGGATCCAGCCTGTTCTGTGTTCTCCAGAACACACCTAATGTAGAGATGTAGAGACTTTTTGCAATGGTAAATCAATTTCTTAGCCCTTGGTAAGTCGTAGGAGTTCAGTTATCTTCCGTGTTAAAGAACTGGGCTTTATTGCCTTTCTGAATTTGTCTGACTGCTGTGTAGGATCCTATGCTTTGTATAATAAATTTGAGTATTTCTTTTGTGAGTATCCTAGCATATAACCATCTGTAAATATATCTAGCTATGCTGCAGGATTTGCAGATCCTGCTTTGTCTTGAAGCATGCTGCAGATTTATTTTTATTTATTTAAGAAAAAAAATCAACCCAAAATACATGTCAAGTGAAGTTAAGTTTGCATTCCTTTTGTTTTCTTATGGTCTCGTAAACCTTATCTGATAGATAGATAAAAGAGGATAACTTAGGGAGCAAAATGTACCACATATTTCATTCTGTGGAAATGATCAATTTGGGTACAGTGTAGGTGGTGGAAGGGGTGACACCTGTGTTCCATGCTGGTGAGTGAAAATGCTAAGAATTTGGTGTATGAATATGGCTAACGATGTATGTGAGGTGTTGACTGGGACAGAGCATAGTAGTTTTAGCTCTCCTTTTAAATTGATGTAGGTTGGTAGTATCATTCCAGTGATAAAACTTAAAAGCTGAAAAGAAAATAATTCATCAATATCATCTTGTTGGTGATGCACAGTGTATTTTGTAACAGAAACATATGACAGCACCTTTTCTTCATAAATGTTGTCAGCAATACTTTGTAGCTGAGATACAGTCACATTGAGCAAGACAGTGGAAGAGGAGGGAACCCAGTGGAAATAGCAGAATCCAGTTACAGTGCTTGCTTTCTGGAACTTCAGTCTCTAGATATCTCTGCATGATCTATATGAAAGTTTGATTTTGAGACCACTTACATGTATTTAATATCTTTTTTTTTTTTTTTAGAGTATTACAACAACACAATATTTCACAGAGTAGTGCCTGGCTTTATAGTGCAGGGAGGTGATCCCACTGGTACTGGATCAGGTGGAGATTCAATCTATGGAGCTCCCTTCAAGGTACGTATTGGTATATGTTATGCATATATTTTTGGTTATTCTCTACCAGTTGTTAGTCCTACTGTGTTAGGTTGTGAGAAAACAAACCTTATATTAGAAATGCAACATTATACATGCAACAGTAATTGCTTTCACATGTTGCTTCAGTATTTTTGAATATGCCTTTTTGAATTGAGAGTTCTTAAATCTAGCTGTTCTGATACTATGATAAATGTATAACCTTACTAGCATGAACTTCAGAAGGAAAAATAGGGAGGGGGAAGAGTGAAGAGTAGGTGTTGATATGTGGCAAACTCAGATGCAGAAATGTACAGTTTACGCACATTGTATCTCATTTAGCAAAGGTCTCTGAATGTTGTATATGTGTTCATTGGTATTATTGATACCAGCATGGCTCATCTCTTAACCAGGAGGCTCAGATCCTGAGTGAAGCTACACACGCACAGCAGCTGTGTTCTGTTTGGCCTGATTGTTTCATTTCAGATGGGGTGGGCATCTTTAACTCATGAATGAAGCTGCATAGCCTGACTTTGGGCCCTCCATCTCCCTGCTGCTAGAGTAGACTCACACATATAACACGAACATCAAGTTTGTGGAAAGGATTGGTACCTGAGCAGGGAACAAAACAAATATTATCAATATTGTAGTAGCATTGCTGCTTAAAATTAGTGGTATCTCAATATTGCAGTGTTTAGATTTGTGATACTACCATGGTATTAATATATTACTCATGGCTTTCACCTTGCTTTGAAAGTAGTCCTATTATGTCGTCTTATGGTCCAGAAAATGTTCTTCCTATGGGTTTTTGCAGTACTGTACTATTACAACCTGTTATTGAGCTTCCAGTTATTTTACATGAATTAGGATTTTTCCTCTAAATACAGTGGTTAACAAGAACACATTTCATACACTTCTTGTAAAACTATTGGTTACCTTTAGAAATGCTTTGGATCTTTTTAATATTGGGAGGGGTAATAAATGCCAACAAAAATAATAAATAACAATTGATTATTAGGCAATAATTGGAAAAAAGAGAAAGTTAACAAGGTAGAACTTAGAGTTTTTATTAAATCATGTGTCTTTCTATTATTGATATACTAGTTTCTAATTTTTTTCTTTGGTGTTTGTTTGTTATGTGTTTATGGTTTCTTCTGAAAGAAGATTGTTCACTTGTTTGCATTATTATAGGCACTAAGAAGAAAAAACATTGACTAAAAATAATCTTTTCTGCTGAAAACAGAAGCTTTTAAATGGAATTGTGGCATTAAGTTTCAAAAGACTTTGGTTTTATTATTGTCTGGATTCAAAAGAAAATCAACAGCATATTTTCTGTGTGTGCATATTGATGTAACTAAGCTGTAGCTAAAGAAGTGGAAAAAATAATTACATACTTAAATTATGTTCTTTTCTGTCTTTGCCAGGATGAGTTCCACTCACGATTGCGATTTAATCGAAGAGGACTTGTTGCTATGGCAAATGCTGGGCCCCATGATAACGGGAGTCAATTTTTCTTTACGTTGGGTCGTGCAGATGAACTTAATAACAAGCACACAATCTTTGGAAAGGTCTGCTACACAAACTAGAGTCCCAGTTTGAGTTTGACAGAAGCTACTATAAGTTTCTCTGTATTCAAAGGCTATTTTAGTGTTGTTTGCTGCTACGTACATTTGAAATTTATTTCACTGCTTTCTAAGCTGTCTCCGTTCTTTTTGTTTCCCATGTCTGGTAGAAATGTTTCTATGGGTTGTTCCCGTAATTATCTATTTGCTGTTGTTATTCTTCTAAACTATATTTTCGTGTTGTGCTTCCTTGGAATAATCTTAC